GCGCTTGAGAAAAAGTACAAGACTGAGGATGCCGGACTTAAGAAGTTCGTGGTTGCAAGGTTTTTGGATTTCAAGATGATTGACACGAGGTCGGTCATAACTCAAGTCCAAGAATTACAAGTCATTGTGCATGACCTCCTTGCTGAAGGTATGGTCATAAATGAGGCCTTTCAAGTCGCCGCTTTCATTGAGAAGTTACCTCCGTTGTGGAAGGACTTTAAGAACTATTTAAAACACAAGCGGAAGGAGATGACACTTGAAGACTTGATTGTTCGTTTGATGATAGAAGAAGACAACAAAAATGCTGAAAAGAAGTCACGTGGAAACTCGACAATAATAAGGGCTAACATTGTTGAGGAGGCGCCACAAAATAAGAAGAGAAAGAAAGCTTCTGGACCAAAGAATATTCCAAGCAAGAAAAAGTTCAAGGGTAATTGCCACAACTGTGAAAAATCTGGGCATAAGGCCGTGGATTGTCGTGCACCAAAGAATGATAAGAAGAAGAAGAATCAAGCTAACATGGTTGAAAATGCTGAAGAAATGGAGGACTTGTGTGCCATGTTGTCTGAATGCAACTTGGTAGGAAATCCTAAAGAATGGTGGATAGATTCTGGAGCCACCCGCCATGTTTGTGCTAACAAGGAGTTATTTTCTTCTTATGCCACCGCAGGACCCGACGAGACAATTTTCATGGGAAATTCGTCTACAGCGAAAATTGAAGGAGTTGGCAAGATTGCATTGAAGATGACGTCGGGAAAAATAGTGACTCTAAACCAAGTTCTCCATGTTCCAGAATTCGCAAGAATCTTGTGTCTACCTCACTTCTTGTCAAGAATGGATTCAAATGTATTTTTGTTTCTAATAGTGTTGTACTAAGTAAGAATGATATGTATATAGGAAAAGGTTACCTGAATGAGGGCCTTTTTAAGCTAAATGTAATAGCAGTTCCTATCAATAAAGTTAATGCTTCTTCTTACTTACTTGAGTCAAACACTTTATGGCATTCACGCTTAGGTCACGTCAACTTCAAAACATTGCGAAAAATGATAAATTTAGAAGTATTGCCAAAATTTGATTGCTTAATTCCAAATGTCAAATATGTGTGGAATCAAAGTATGCTAAGCATCCTTATAAGTCCGTTGAAAGGAATTCAAGTCCTTTAGACTTAATTCACACAGATATTTGCGACATGAAGTCAACACCATCTCGCGGTGGGAAAAAGTATTTTTATTACTTTTATTGACGATAGCACGAGATATTGCTATGTTTATTTACTTAGTAGTAAAGATGAGGCAATTGATGCTTTCAAGCAATACAAGAGTGAAGTTGAAACACAACTAAACAAAAAGATCAAAATGATAAGAAGTGATAGGGGTGGCGAATATGAATCTCCTTTTGAAGAAGTCTGTTTGGAAAATGGCATTACTCACCAAACAACTGCCCCTTACTCTCCACAATATAATGGAATTACGGAGAGAAAGAATCGAACGTTGAAAGAGATGATGAATGCGTTATTGATAAGTTCAGGTTTACCACAGAACTTGTGGGGGGAAGCTATACTTACAGCTAACCGAATAATCAACCGTGTACCTCATAGTAAAACACAGTCCATTCCCTATGAAAAATGGAAAGGAAGGAAGCCCAGCTTGAAATACTTCAAAGTGTGGGGGTGTTTAGCTAAGGTACAAGTTGCTAAACCTAAAAGGGTTAAGATAGGTCCAAAAACGGTTGATTGTGTATTTATTGGATATGTAACCAATAGCAAGGCATATCGTTTTTTGGTTCATAAGTCAGAAAATCCTGAGATTCACGTTAATACGATAATAGAATCAGATAATGCTGAATTCTTTGAAACTATTTATCCGTATAAAAAGGAAAGTGAAGTGACCTACCAAAAGTCAAACGACCTCGGGAGGAAATAACAGATGGTATGCCTAATGAGGAAAATCCGAGAAGAAGTAAACGTCAACGGACATCTACTTCATTCGGTCCAGATTTTCTGACTTTCCTGCTAGAAAATGAGCCTCGTACCTTCAAGGAAGCAATGTCTTCCTCAGAAGCACAATATTGGAAAGAAGCTGTCAATAGTGAAATAGAATCCATATTGAGCAACCATACCTGGGAATTGGTTGATCTTCCTCCAGGTAACAAAACATTGGGTTCTAAATGGATTTTCAAGAAGAAAATGAAAGACGATGGTACTATTGACAAATATAAGGCAAGACTTGTTGTCAAAGGATTTAGACAGCGAGACGGTCTTGACTATTTTGACACATACTCGCCGGTAACAAGAATTACATCCATTTGGATGCTAATAGCGTTAGCCGCCTTGTATGGTCTTCAAATCCATCAAATGGATGTAAAAACAACCTTCTTAAATGGTGATCTAGAGGAAGAAATTTACATGAACCAACCCGAAGGGTTTGTGGTTCCGGGAAAAGAAAAGAAGGTGTGTCGACTTGTTAAGTCCCTTTATGGACTAAAACAAGCACCCAAGCAATGGCATGCGAAATTTGACCAAACAATGTTGTCAAATGGCTTTAAGATTAATGGATGTGATACATGTGTTTACATTAAGAACGTTCCAAATCATATAGTCATTGTTTGCTTATATGTTGATGATATGCTAATAATGAGCAAAGACATTGCCGGCATACAAGCTACTAAGCGTATGCTTGCTAGTAAGTTTGATATGAAAGACTTAGGAGTTGCCGATGTAATTCTAGGAATTAAAATCCAGAGGACTCCTCAGGGTCTAGCTTTGTCTCAATCACATTACGTGAAAATGGTACTTGAAAAATTCAAACACTTGGAATTTAGAGGTGCAAGAAATCCAATTGACTTAAATCATTATCTTATAAAGAATAAAGGTGAAAGTACGTCTCAATTGGAGTATGCTCGTGTTGGGAAGCTTAATGTACATCATGAACTGTGCACGACCTGATATAGCTTGTGCAATAAGTAAACTTAGTCGATTCACAAGTAATCCAAACAAACATCACTGGGTGGCAATGAAACGAGTTCTGGGATATTTGGAATATACCCAAGACTACGCTTTGCACTACAATAAATATACTGCGGTTATCGAAGGATATAATGATGCAAATTGGATAACCGACTCAACAGAAACAAAGTCCACAAGTGGATATGCTTTTACTGTTGGTGGAGGAGCAGTATCTTGGAAGTCTTCCAAACAAACGTGCATCGCTCGCTCTACAATGGAATCAGAGTTTATAGCTTTGGATAAAGCCGGTGAAGAAGCTGAATGGCTTCGAAATTTCTTAGAAGACATTCCGTTCTGGCCAAAATCTTTGGCTCCTATTTGCATACATTGTGATAGTGAGGCTGCAATAGGACGGCCAGGGAGCGTTATGTATAACGGAAAGTCTCGTCATATACGAAGAAGACATAACACCGTTAGACAACTACTTTCTAGTGGAATTATCACTATTGATTATGTAAGATCAAAGGATAATGTGGCGGATCCGCTTACATGGGACTATGGCCGAGGACAAGTCAACATGGCGGTAACTCTACCTAGAATTTTGGATGTTCCGAGGTTCAAGGAGCTCAAACAAAGTTGTGATTGACCGGTTCAACATTGTCAAAGTAAAATCTTTGGTCCTTCTCGTGATGAAGACAATGTTCAGTAACAAGGATAGAACTTTACACGTTCTTTAATGATTACCTAAGTTTGATGTGGTATTTATCAAATAGTGTCAATCTAAAGGATTACACGTTTAGGAATCACCTATGTAAGTGTGAAGTGGAAGCCGCTTCAATGAGAATTCTGTAAGGCCAATTCTCTACGCACTTATGAAACCAGGCGGTGTTCATAGCTGAAACGAACACAACAATGAGAACCAAAAGACGGTTAAGGATTGGTTGTGTGACATATGGTTGTCTAGGTATACACTAAAGTTCGACGGTTCAAAGATATCAAATCTACTGATTGACCGAGTATATCCGACATATGTCACTACGGAAAGTTCAAAGGGAAACCTACTTATCCAGATGCAATTAATCCTTACTTGCAAATCACACAGCTTTCATCTATGATCATTCTTGTTACAGCCATTCCCATTCATGTGGGGGATTGTTGGACTTTAAAGCATTAGGCTTCAAAGACTTTAAGCATTGGGCTTTAAAGTCTAAGAGTGTGAATTGGAAATGCTGGGAAATAAAATGGAGGGAAATGAAAATTTGAATGAAGTGAGCTTTTGTCTTGAACTTTGTCCCTCATTGGTGAGGGACAACTACATTTGTGTGTATATATATAGAATCACTTCTTAAAGCTCTTAAAAGGAGTTGAAGAGAATGAACCCTCGCGCCGTCGTCGTCGCTCGCTCGGCTCAGCTTCGGCTTTGGTTTTGACTTTGGATTTGGATTTGTCAAATGATCGATCGATATTTTTGGACAAAATTTATTTAATTAATTATTTAATAATTAATTAAATATCAGTTAGTTAGCCGCTGTCCGGGCGTGACCGCGGTAGGACCGCGCCAGAACACTGCTGCAGATTCAGAAGGCCACTCTGGCCGCGGTCCGGGCGTAACCGCGGTAGGACGCGTAAACTTCTGAACAGACACCTTTTCCAGAACAAACATCACACCTCTTCTAATAATTGCCTATAAATTCTGAGGCATGGCTTCATTTTTAACACACTGAAAAAATTACAAAACTTCTTTCTTTTTGAAAATACTGCATTCTAATTCGCAGTCTCTCTCTCAAATTTATAAGTGTAATTTTACTCCGTTTTTTGAGTTCGTTGGTATCCTGCAATTTGTATTGCCACTGTTGCAGGAAGGTTTATTCCGTTTCATCCTGGGAGGATTTAATCCACTACCTTGGCAACGTGTGAGGGGGTTAAAATTCCTTAAGAACGCACAAGCAAATTGTGGACTCGGAATATTTCTTATTCTTTACTGTCTTCCACTTTCTTTTATTCTTCTAAAAGTTTTTTGATTTTGTGTTTTAGAAAAGTAGCGGATCACAAAAACTCATCAGAAACAGAGAGTGCTTTCTTTATTCCATGCATGTTGTGGTCAGTGCATCCACATACAATAAGTGTCATTCATACAACCCTTTAATTCACAGAAACCAAAGAGTATAGCAGCTTCTCATCCTATTATTTAAACCAATACATGTATTCTTCTTAAGAGTGGTAGCTCAACAAGGAAAACTAGAATCTTGTATTCTTCCAGCCGAAGTCGGATGGCCGGAGCGCACTCGCCCTCCACCTCCAGTCACGTCTTCTGTTGGATCATAAGCAGTCCCGGTTGTAGTGTAGCCCTGAGCTCCTCCATCCCTATGGAAGAACAGAAGTCAGAATTCAAATTTAATTAAATATTTATATCATTTCTCATTGTGTGACTATATAAGAGCTTTTCGTCAAAAATAAATTACTTTATTTTTATTAGAATGTCTCTAAATTTAACAAGAGGTAATTCTATTTGTGTGTGTTAATGCTGAAGATAGTGTGCATACCTTGCAGCTGCATTTTGATCCATCGCTTCTCTCTTGTTCAGCGCAGCAGCAGTTTTCCTGTCATCTTTCTTCTCTGTTGCTATCTCTTTCTTCAATGAGTCCCTACTTGTGATTCTCTCTGCCTGTTAAATATGTTACAAACTAGAAATGGTTATTACAGCCAATTTTTCACAGTCATTGCGATTTTCGTATCAGAGTTTGCACGCAGTTATAACATAAACCTTCACTTTATTTTAGGAATCTGATTTTTTTCAAGACTTCGAGTCAAAAGAATAATCCAATTGTGCGTCGTGCAAGTAGAATGTACGTACTGACACGAACAAGAACCTACATTTGTCACATAATATACTTTCTCCGTTTTCTGTTTATGTAAATTAATTTTTGATATAAATTATTTAATTTTTTAAAATAAAATTCACATATTTAAAATAAATCATGCACAAAAAAAAAAAAAAATCTTATCTGACTTCCCAAATAGTGATAAGTACATTATTAAAAGCACTTGAAGGCAATGTGTAATATATATTTAACGCAGAGATTATACATTTTCTTCAATGGTGGCCTTGGTCTTCTCCATGCCAGACTTTGCTGAGGCTGCTGCATTAGCTGCTTTCTCATTAACTCCCTGCATTTTCTTTTCCTCCTCTAGAAAAACTTGCTTTAGCCTTTAGGTGTTTTCACGAATTGCTTTCTATTCGATCTGTTTGTTAGCACTTAGCAAGATGAAGAAAAAGAGAGCATTTTGTATTTATTGGCGTTGGGAGGGAGGACGAAGTGGCGCCACGTTGATTTAACGTGGAAAATGGGCAGGTTCTGATTGTTGATCAGTTGACACGTCGCAGTAGTTGTCAACTTTTAACATGCTTTTTATTAGGAGGTACAAAATTACAATTAGATCATCTTTTATACGGGTGATAGACGCGGTTGATATTAGGTCACGATGCCGTTTGAGTCCAAGATGTTTACGACTCCTTCCGCCCATTCCACTTTACGCGAGATAGCGAGTACCAATGTCAATGTCAAATTAACTAATTTTTGTGAGCATATAAATAATAAAATTTTAAATTCTTAAAAAAAAAAAATTTTATATAGTTAAAACTAATAAAATATACTATAACTTACAATAACTAGCAATTTTAGATATTAACCTGTCATCACGTTGCATTAGAAGGCTAGGAGAAGCTCTAACTTCTCTCTAGTCAACTAAAGAAACCATTAACTTATCCATAACTAAGCTGTCGCCAACTCTCAAGTTCCCTACTGTCACGGGGTAATTTATGTCACTCGAATTTTGCTCGAGGTTCACCTCCGTGCGGCAGTCAAGCCTAGCCTTGACTTCAGCCTTTCCTACAGTTAGTTTTATTTTAGAGACGTTTTGAACTTAGAATGAAAATAGGCAGCAAAAACAGTAAATAAAGGCACACACGATATACAGGAATTTTTTCCCAACTCGTATTAATATGTGAATACAAGAACACAATAGCCAACCGTATGGCCAAGACAAAGAATTCCCTAATTCCCTGCCCCAAAACGATTTTCTCACCCTAGGAAATGACTTAGACGATTTTGGCTTAACAAATGCACAAAAGCTAAGTTCTGCCTCGTTTTTGGCACTCTAGGCACATATTTATAAGGCTACAATCAGTTGACAAGCCCCAACTAATGGGGAAACATGTTAGGACAAGGTACAAAAACGTGCCCCATGTTTTAGGCCTTGATCAGCATGTCTTGGAAGAGGTTGCAACCGCCAACTGCTTCCCATGTGCTTTGCACATGTTTTCCAACTACTGCTTGTGCACAACATGTGCCTATTTCGCCCAGCTGCTTTGTGCCCAAGGCTGGCATTGCGCCCAGCCTTGTCCTTGACACTGCTCCGCACCAATGTCATGGCCCCAGCTCGCCAACCACTGCTAGCCGCACACGTTCATTGCCACAATTGCCCGCTTATGTCAAGTCGCCCCCAACTTGATTAAATCTGCCCGCATCAATTGTCCTTGCTTGTCCCGCATTGCCTTGCCTTGCCTTGCCATGCCTCTGCCCCTGCTTTGACATGGCTTTGCCTTGCCATTGTTTTGCCAACCCGCACGTCTAAGTAAAATGCACCTTGCTTCCGTTCAAGGTGCGTTTGTCAACCCCGCATAGTCCGTCATGCCGAGCAGCCCATCATGATGTTGCCCAATTTTTCAGGTTGTGTGCCAAGGACATCATGAAAATCCTTGTCACAACCCACACCTGCCGAGGACCTTTGTCAAGGGGCTAACAAACCACCCCCACCAGAAGAATTCATCGTCCTCGACGAAGTAGCTTCCACATTTTTCAGCACCACCATAGGCCCTAAATATACTGTTGCTTGCTCATGTTCTTCCTCGTTTGGTTCATCTTCACTCTTTTCTTCAGCAAACAACGCTGAAAGCCGTTCAATTCTTGGACAGTCCCTCGCCATGTGTGGTCCTTTGCAAATAAAACAGCCATCAAACTTGCTGTTCTGTCCCTTGTTTGTCGAAGGTCCAGCACATTGCTTTCCCTTTTCATTGCCATTGCCCTCAACAGCATTGCCCTTGTCATTTTCCTTTTTTCTCCACTCTTTTGCCTTGTCCTTGTTCCCTTTTCTGGACTTTGAAGTAGTGGAGAAATCAAAACCATCTTGTCCCAACTGGAGATCACCCAACACATCCGCAGCAGCAATGGCACTAGGAAGATCTTTCACATTCTGCCTTCGTAGTTCCATTTGCGCCCACGACTGCAACCCATAAAGGAAATTATGCAGCTTGTCTTCCTCAGACATGTTGCTTATATCCAGCATCAAAGAACTGAATTCTTTGACATATTCCCTGACCGTTCCAGTTTGTTTCAACTTCTTCAAACGATCTCTAGCAATCCGGCCCGCATTGCTAGGAAATAATTGATCCTTCAACTTTTTCTTCAGCCCTTCCCAAGAGTCAATCTTCGACCTTCCAGCACTTACATCATCTGCCACACGTGTCCGCCACCAAAGCTTTGCATCGTCCACCAAGTACATAGTCATAATGGTGACCTTGTCTTCATCTTGCACCTTGGCAGCATGAAAGTACTGCTCCATATCCCACAGGAAGTTTTCGAGTTTCTTGGCACTCCTTGCACCATTAAACTCTTTAGGCCCCGGAATTTTGACCCTCGTACGATCTGCCCCACGCCGTGCTTCATCATTGCTAACAGCACGATGCAACAACCCATTTTCCTTTTTCAGATCTGTGCACTCCTGGCTCAGCCTGTTCAACTCGCCCTCAAGATAGGCGAGACGAGTCATGATAGTCAGAAATTGATCCCCATCAACAGTTCCGACGAGTGCCTCTAATGCAGCAACCTTTTCCTTCAGTTCTGCGTTGCCACCAGCCATTCTTCACAAAATTCAGCCACTGAACGTTGTGTCTTCGCCCCGATCTAGCCACGCTCTGATACCAGTTGTCACGGGGGTGATTTATGTCACTCGAATTCTGCCCGAGGTTCACTTTCGTGCGGCAGTCAAGCCCAGCCTTGACTTCAGCCTTTCTAACACTTAGTTTTATTTTAGGGACGTTTTGAACTTAGAATGAAAATAGGCAGCAAAAACAGTAAATAAAGGCACACACGATATACAGAAATTTCTTCCCAACTCGTATTAATATGTGAATACAAGAACGCAATAGCCAACCCTATGGCCAAGACAAAGAATTCCCTAATTCCCTACCCCAAAACGATTTTCCCACCCTAGGAAATGACTTAGACGATTTTGGCTTAACAAATGCACAAAAGCTAAGTTCTGCCCCGTTCACTCTAGGCACATATTTGTAAGTTGACAAGCCCCAACTGATGGGCAAACATGTTAGGACAAGGTACAAAAACGTGCCCCATGTTTTAGGCCATGATCAGCATGTCTTGGAAGAGGTTGCAACCGCCAACTGCTTCCCATGTGCTTTGAACATGTTTTCTAACTGCTGCTTGTGCACAACATGTGCCTATTTCGCCCAGCTGCTTTGTGCCCAAGGCTGGCATTGCGCCCAGCCTTGTCCTTGACGCTGCTCCGCACCAATATCATGGCCCCAGCTCGCCAACCACTGACTTAGCCGCACACGTTCATTGCCACAATTGTCCGCTTATGTCAAGTCGTCCCCAGCTTGATTAAATCTGCCCGCATCAATTGTCCTTGCTTGTCCCGCATTGCCTTGCTTTGCCTTGCCATGCCTCTGCCCCTGCTTTGACATGGCTTTGCCTTGCCATTGTTTTGCCAACCCGCACGTCTAAGTAATATGCGCCTTGCTTCCGTTCAAGGTGCGTTTGTCAACCCCGGATAGTCCGTCATGCCGAGCAGCCCATTATGATGTTGCCCAATTTTACAGGTTGTGTTCCAAGACCATCATGAAAATCCTTGTCACAACCCACACCTGCCGAGGACCTTTGTCAAGGGGCTAACACCTACCATGAATCCTCAACACTATAAAGCAGAAACCAATATTCCACCCAAACCCCCAGATATTGTTCATGAGAAATCCACTCAAAATAAATGGAAGAACAAATCCTCATTCAAGGATATGTTAACTGCCTCTAGCCGAATGACTTTTACCCCAAATCTGGACCAGGTTGACATGGACCTAACAACAACCTCCCTAGAAGAGGAAGAGTTCGAGCATGCATCAAACTTCAATGCAAGAGGCATTAAAAAAATATCTCTAACCGAAGAAGATAGACAACGAATTTATGAGCCATGGAAATGCTTTATCATAATTAAGCTGGTGGGGAAACGCATGCTACACCATTATTTAAAGAAAAAGATCCAAGAATTATGGAAGCCAACGGAAGAATTCTTATTAATTGATCTTGGAGAGGATTACTATATAATAAAATTCAAAAAAAGTAAAATATGGATAAAGCTATCCATCAAGGACCATGGTTCATCAATGGCCACTTTCTATCCATTTCAAGATGGAAACCAAATTTTGTGGCTACAAATGAAAAGTTAACTACCTCGGCAGTATGGATTAGGCTCCCTCAATTGCCAATGGAATTTTATGATGGCAAGATCCTTGAGAGGATTGGAAATGCAATAGGACGCCTACTTAAAATTGATATTTGTACAACAACCACTCTAAGGGGTCGCTATGCAAGAATTTGTGCGGAAATCCCTCTAGAAATTCCAGTTCAACCTTTCCTATATGTTGGCCACCATAAACAATATATTCATTATGAGGGTGAGAATTTCCTTTGTAAAAATTGTGACAGATTTGGACACACACTAGGACAGTGTAGTTATATACATAAAACAAGCAAGGATATTAAACATCCAACAAAGGAACAACAACCTACTACAACAATGGAAGATCCAGAAGCAGAATGGAAAACAGTCTCCTTCAATAAAGGAAGAAAGCAAGAAGTAAAAAATACTTCTCATTTCATCAACAATCCAACCAAAAACTCCAACGGCCCAGGTATCTCCATCAAGCTGTTTAATGCCAATACAGATAAGTATTTGGCTACCCAAATGTTGCAATACAAGACTAATGATTCCATCAACTCCGTACCACCTGCAAATGCTAATAATCTAATCAACAAAGTTAAGGAACAAACCACTATTCCTATTAAAAATCATTTCTCTCTCCTAAACACTAAGCAAACGATTTTACAAGAAACCACTAATGATAACTCTAATAACCTATTAAAAACCAATAATAGCCATGCAAGTGAACACTTGGCCACTCAAAACAAAGATATTAACATGCTG